ATGCGTGTTGTTGTCTCAGATATCTGTCCAACACAGACTCTCAAACTGCAGTAGAGGACTCCAGGGTCGCCTCCCACCCCCACAATCTCATAAACAGCCCCATGGGCAGAGACTAGCATAAAAAACCTGGTTCTGGGAAGACAAACTCTGGCCCTAAGACCATGTTGGGACAGTCAGGGGCTTGATTAAAACAAAACAAAACAAAAAACAGAGAAAAGGCAAAAATCATCATTGTCAGAAAAGAAAAAGAGAAGATGGTCCCTAAGCCTGCAAATGGAAAGCAGATGATAATGACAAAATATAAACTGATGTACAGTTTATGCCAAGAAACCCATTTATATGAAATAGACACATTCCTTGGAAAATGAATTACTGAAAGAAATGGAATCTACTCATATGTTTAAGCATGTTGAACCTGGTCATATAGGACATTCCCACAGGGAAAACTCCAGGCCCAGATGGCTTTACTGATACACTACCCAATAACTCAGTAACATGACCCACTGATACACTACCGAACAACTGAGTAACAGACAATGCAACACTACTCAATGACTGAGCAACATGCAATACCAAGCCACACAGAAAACACTGGCAGAGGGACTGCTTTATTGCATAAAACCAGGTTTACCACAATAACCATACAAAGTGGCTATGAGAACAAAAACCTAAAGATGGACCTCATTCATAAACATGCAGGCACCAGTCAGTCATACCTGGCACCAGCTAATGACGCTGGCCCACAGCTCTAGTCTGTGGCTAGCGTCAGCACTAATGTTGAGTTACAGGTTTTTGTTTTGTTTTGTTTTCTTGACCATCGTACCTTGTCTGTTGATGATAACTTACATTTGTTGGTCATGAGGCTTAAAGTCACTAGTCTGGGTCTTCTGAGAAAATGAGATAAAATATCTGGTATCCAGCAAACACCTACAGTTTCTGCTTTAGAAAAAGTCTTTTGTGTGTATTCACTTCTTTCTATTGGGGCAGGTGGCTAAGGATGCAACAGTGCACCTGTGGAGGTCAGAAGACAATGTGAATCAGCTCTCTCCATGTACCACGTGGGTTACAAGGATTGAGCTCAGATCACTGGCCCTGGGAGCAAGCACCTTTATCCACTGAGCTATCACACACCTATTTACAACTTTTAATACTTGGCCTTTTCTTAGGCTATAGGTCAGCATGTAGTATGGTAAGTCCAATGACTTTCTTCAGACTTGAGTTGATTAGACATAGAGATTGGATGCAGAAGTAACTATTGATTTGAACTCTAAGGCAAACTTCCAAACAGAATTGGACTTAGCTTGCTCACTGCCAACAGAAAGTCATTCTCCATTGGATTTCTGCCTCACAGAATCAAATGGGATTGGGGTCTTGAAGACAGGATACTCAATGCCTGGGCTAAGTTAGCCCCTGGCTGAGACCTTCTTTGAGGCAAGAATTCCTTTCCTATGAACTCATAATATATCCAAAGCCTCTCTTCAATGTGTTTGTTATTATAACTAAACACAGTGGGTTCCTGTGTTGGTCAGTATACAGCCAAGCTCGGCAGAGTCAAGATACAAGAGTGGGAGATGGTTAACTCCCTGCAGCAATTAATAGCAAAGCAAAGTCCCCTGAACCTCAAGAAACATGAGGGTTTTAGTCAAGGGATCTATACAGACCCTATAGTGGTTGGCTTCTTTCTTGAACTAGCTCAGTTAAGTAGTATCTTCCTGAGCATGCTCAGTGTAAGGTCACACACACACACACACACACACAGAGAGAGAGAGAGAGAGAGAGAGAGAGAGAGAGAGAGAGACAGTCAGACAGAGAGACAGAGAGAGACAGAGAGAGAGACAGAGACAGAGAGACAGTCAGACAGAGAGACAGAGAGAGAGAGATGTACTCTCTATGATTCTTCCTAGCAGGTACCTATCAGAAAAACAGTTCGTTGTCTTCCTCTCCTGTGTTCAGTGGGTTTTCTTCAGGCACATTTTGAAGATTTATCCAAATGTCTGTTTTCCCAGTTCTTTTATAGTTGGCCACATCTTTCTTAGTCTTTCTTATCCTAACCTACCACCTTCTCAGGTTGTACTCAACTCTTCTTCCTTTCGCTTCATGAAAAGGTCACTGAAATAATGAAGGCATCACTTTGTTAAAACCAAATCCACAGTGGGCGTGTGTGTGTACATCATGCAACATTGGATTTGAATTTCTAGTTCTCTACCCCAAACCTTTTCCTCTAAGAACACCATTTCACTTCTCCCCACCCCCCACCCATCATCAGTACTAACCATGAAAGTTTCTGTGTACTTAAAAAAAATCATATAAAGATTAGGAGGCACCCTTAAGCTCCATGGTTCCTTGTTAACCACTGCCAACACACATTGCAGTACGCTTGTTATCCCTGCCCTGTGTGTCTATGGCCACAGTTCAAGGAATAGCCAACAAATAACACAGCCTAAATTTGACTTCCTATACAGCAGGTGCAGTGAAACAAAGAGTGCAATAGCACTAAACATCACACTCACCGTCTCCACTGTTTTTGTACAAGAACTAGATGTTCTTATGCAGATGAAGTCTACAAGGGCGGTGATTCAGACGGTGGTAACTGAATCACCTGACTCATCTTTGGAGGCAATTTCCACACTGTAGAAGGTCTGATCTCAATGTCAAGGCAACATACTTATCTTGTCCAATAAAGCAAAAGCCCAGAGAGTTTCCAATGAGCAACTAAGTGAGTCTTATATCTATAAAATGCCTTCTTTGTGAAATAAGGGAGTCAAGAAAATAGAGAAATCAGATCCCTCAGTAACCTGATTTCAGAATTTGCTTACTCACTCTGTTTTTGTAGCTGTGTAACCAATTACCAAGGCCATTATTTCAGTAAGCTGTATGTGACATGGCTAGGAAGTCGGGGTCACAGAGATGGGGAGAAGCAGAGATAGTGAGTTGATTTGTCTCAAGACATGATGCAAACTCTGTAGCATGCAGCACACTTTGCCTTGCCCTTGCTCAGCCTGAGATAGAAGAAATGTTTCCTTCATTCAACAAATAATTTTGAGTGCCTGACTGTGCCAGGCCCTGGGCTAGAGACACACACAAAGCAGTGGGCAGCCCAGAAGCATGTGCTCTCCGCCCTCATCAAGACAACTTTCTAAAAGATAACAAGTTTGGCAAGGATGTAGAAGAAACAGAACACTTGCACAGTGTTGGTGGTACTGTAAATTAGCATAGTTGATTTGCAAGATGGTATGGAGAGTCTTCAAAACATTAAAAATAGAACTAACATATGACCCCAAAAAAATCCCACTCCTGGGCATACAGCCAGGGGAAGTAAAATCAGTATGTAAAGAGAGATGGCCCCTGTGTTTATTATGACTCTACTCATAAGAGCCAGAACACGAAAACAACCACAGTGTTGACCAACTGATGAATGGCTAGAGAAAGAGTGGCACCTATTTGAGACAGGGGACAGCACAGCCTTAAGAAAGAAGGGAGCCTTTTATTCTGAAGCAGTGTTGCTAGAACTGGGTTATGTGAAAGAGACCAGGTACAGAAAGATAAACACTGCATGATCTCACTGAACCTGGAGCTCACGGATTTGCTCAGCCCGGCTCCCTAGTGAGCTCCAGGGATCAGGCTCTGTCTGCCTCGCTGGCCCCAGGATTATGGGCATACCATACCCTGCTTTACCTAGGGTGAATAGGATCCAAATCCTGGTCCTCATCCAAACTCTGGTCTTCATGTGCACACAGCAATCACTTTACCTACTGAGCCATTACCCCACCTGCTGCAGACAGGGTTCAAGTAGGTTTTAACACCAGGGTCGGGGTGTTTTTCCGGTAGTGAAGAAGCCTGTAAGGGAGGCTCTGGATTCCTGGACACAGCAGTCCCAGAATATGGCTGCTCGGAACAAAGCCAGAGGAAGCGATGGTGAGGAGGGACTGTGTGTGCCTTGAGTGCGTGCTGGCAAGAAGACTGCGTTTTCAGAGAGTTGTGAACAGCCAGCTCTGGCTACTGGTTGCTTCCTGCCAAGGATTAGCATGAAGTCTCAGGATGACAGCTGCTTTGACCGTGTACTTCCAGGAAGGCCTGATTTTACTGCCTTCCTTCAGCAGCTTATGCCGTCAGCATCTGTCTTTGATAATTTTTCCTCTGAAAATGAACAAAGAAATGGACAGGTGCAGCCTTTATCATAAAATCATGTCCACATCCCCAAATGAGCAATGAGCAAAGGAGTAAAGAGTCAAGCAAGTCCCTTACACTACCCAAGGGACTTTGATTTTTGATAACACAGACAATTCCTGACTGTTAATAAATAAAACCATTTTTATTTTTATGGAGTGTTCATGTTTCATATCCTAAGAAGCCCAAGTGGCGTCTACATTTCCACTGAGGCACGTAAACAGCCAGGATGCCCTAGGCTGGGTTTGTAGCTCAGCTGGTAGAATGCCTGCCTAGCGTGCTTGAATCCCCAGGTTCTGGCCCCAGCACTATACACACTGGGCGTGGTAGCATACACTTGGCATTCTAGCTTTGAGGAGGTGGGGACCAAAATCAACCTTAATGAAATAAACAGTTCCAGGCAGCCAGAGCACATGAGACATCATTTTTAATAAAAATGAATAATAATGTAGTGCCAGCTGTTCCTCAGGACAGAACACCTGACACAAAACACTTAGGAGGAAGGGGGATTTATGGGATTAAGAGTGTCAGAGGGCTCACTCAGCTCATCATTGCTTGGCCCCACACATCACTGTCAATAGAAGCATGGCCAAGAGATTCTTCACCTCATGGTGCAGAAAGAAAGGGAACAGAAAGAAAGGGTGAGGACAAGACATGAGCTTCACAGACATGTCCCCCATGACCTACTTCTCCTTAGGCTCCATCTCCCAAAATAAGACCAACACCTAGGAACTACATATTTCATAAATGACATAAGAGGGCAAGATTCATAGTCAAACCACAACAAATAGTGAAGACAACAAACCATCAGTCCTTTCAGCTCCAAATAAATACACGGACGCTGTATTAATTATAAAACTGTTTGGCCAATGGCTAGGGCTTCTTATTGGCTAGCTCTCTCTTAATTATTAACCTGTAACTACTAATTTCTGTATTTCTACATGGCTGTATCTTACCAGAGAACGCCTGGCGTATCCTATCTTCCTGGTCTCTAGATGGCATCTCCTCGCAGTATTTCTCTGCATACCTTTCCCAGAATTCTCCTCGTCTCCTAGTCCTGCCTATCTTCCTGCCTCTATTGGTCAATCAGTGTTTTGCTCATCAACCAATAAGAGAAACACATATACAGAAGGACGTCCCCATAGACAACTGTTCTAACTGCTGCACTAGCAATATCACTGCTCTATGAGAGTGCAGCTACCATCATCAAGAGGAAAGGAAGACAGAGAACTTGAGGACTTTGTCCAAGATCGCCTGGCTATCACATTCCCTACCCAAACCTGAGAATAACAAGGACGGATTATGAACCCTGCTTTCACATGGCAGGAGTTTACGTTTGCTTAGTCTTCTGCTTCCGGGAATATTTTATATACAAAGCGTGATGTTTATGCTCAGGAATAATAGGGCATATGAAGCAACATCATGGCTCTTCTGTGAGTGTTTTGTCAGTTGCCTGTTCTGTTGAATGAAGTCTTACCAGTAACACAAAAGCATACTTGCAAGGATACAGGCAGGTTTGCAAACACCATAGCGACAGCATCCCAAGATGGGCATCAAAAAGTAAGCCAGAAAAAGCTGTGTCCAACACTGACACACAGATTTCCATCACCCAGAGAGAAAAGAAATAAATATTCCTTTAAAAATAATCACACACACACACACACACACACACACACACACACACGCGCGCGTGCGAGCGCGCGCGAGAATAAGAAAATGATGCTGTACTTACCTACAAAACCTTGGCCTTTAAGCCCATTTCATAAGACAGGAAAAAATCCCACCTGCTAAAGAATTGTCTTTAAATAGACCTCCAAGGAAAATCATCGCTGGATGATAATTATGTTCCCCCAAAGGGGAAGTCAAGTATTGATTATACATCCACACTGGGGAACGCGCTGTGCTATGTATGATGGTTCCATGCCAAGTTTTTACGTCTTGACCACGCACCTGTGAGGTCACCCTCCCTGTTTCTGAGAAGAGAATGGTAGAGGTGATGGAAAGCACCTGGGAGAGGTCAGCGTGTGACCTCAGGCCTGTCAGGCTCCATGGCCTGTCTCACAGCAGGTCTCGGTCTCTCACCTCAAGGGGGTTGTCTTCCTTAGAGCTGATCCCATTTCTTTGAAAGGCTAGCTTAGGTCAAGAGCTGCCCCTGAGGTAAAATTCCCTGGGTCTGAAGTCTCAGTTATGTGGATGATTCACTATGTAACATGGACAAGTTCCTGACCTGGCTGGGTCTCGGTTTCCCCAGACATGAATAATAATGCCTACTTGGTGGTAATGCTGTGAATATTAGCCTAATATGTATGGTGAGACTCTAGTACATTTAGCATATAATGTTCAGTTTATGTTCTTGTTCGTTATTTTTAAGCCATACACAATATGGATAGGAACTTGGCCATCTTGCCCCTTTAGAAGATGTCAAACTCTGCAGAAATGTAAAGAATGTGAAAGTTTGTCTCGGTCACACATGCCTTGATGACGGCACACTTCCTGAGACATGTGTAGTTAGCTGATGTTGTCGCTGTTGCAAACATCATGGCAGACTCACACAATCTGAGACAGTTGTGACATCACTAGAAGATGCGGTCTTGTAGGATGACTGTCACGTGTGCTGCCCACCCCTGACATAGACACTGGGAAATATGACGAGACTATCACATGTCGGGCAAGTTTAGAAGCCTGTGGCATCTTTGGCACATTACAGAATTCCTGACACAAAAGAAGTGGTCGGTATAACGCGTGAGGCAAGCACCCAAGGAACAGCTCTGTGGTAGAGCATGTGCCTAGCATGTATGAACTGCACGGGGCTGGGAACAGCTCAGTGGTAGAGCATGTGCTTAGCATGTATGAACTGCACGGGGCTGGGAACAGCTCAGTGGTAGAGCATGTGCCTAGCATGTATGAACTGCATGGGGCTGGGAAGAGCTCAGTAATAGAGCATGTGCTTAGCATGTATGAACTGCACGGGGCTGGGAACAGCTCAGTGGTAGAGCATGTGCCTAGCATGTATGAACAGCATGGGGCTGGGAAGAGCTCAGTAATAGAGCATGTGCCTAGCATGTATGAGGCCCTGTGTTCACTTTCTAGACAAAGGGGGGCATGCCCAGCCTTGTACCATTTGACTCACCATTGCCCCCCATATCTTCGCTCATCCTGCCCTGCTGCACCCACTCCCAAGACTTCACCTCCCCGGTTCCAGGCATAACACACCTGTCCTTTCTGGGATGAATCCCTCCCTATGGAGTTTTAAATTGTAATGGTCCTTCGCCTAGTTCTCTGATTCCCAGATCCCCTTATCCCCTTCTTCATTTTTATCCAAAGGGCTTATTACAATGCGTCACATGCTAATTGAACATTTACTCATTTGCTTATATAGGATACCAACATCACATGTCTGTCCCCTTCACTGTGTGTACCCCTGCATTCTTCGCACTGAACAGAGGGCGTGGCAATTAGTGACGGGCTTAATAGGCATCTGCTAAAACACTAATTTATTAAAGATCATGACTTCAATTTTGTGTGGGTTAGCATAAAGAAATACATGGTATGTATATATTCTGGGGAAACACAAGAGAATTAATGTCTGGGGAAGGTAAGTGTGAGAAATTATTAAATTCCTTCTCTAAGAAGCTACTAAATTTGTATGTAAATTAAGCTAGAAATTCAGTTCCTCTATTGCATATGTACTTGTGGAAAGTAGGTCGAGTTCTTCTGGGTTTTAAGAAATGAGAGGACATTCTTTTACAAAGTTCACACTCGAGAGCTTCCATTTTGTCTGGAACAGTTTCCCTAAGTCAAATGCACTTTGTGTCTAAAGCAGCAACAGTCTAGGGACTTTGTTTTCCTGACCAAACTTCCTAGTGGTTAATCCACCAATGTCCTGTGCCCTGACAGGGACACCAAAAGTCCACTTAGCAATGCTATTCAGAGAGAAGTGCACACTCGCCCATTGGGAAAAGGGCCATTTCCTAAATTGCTATTTTATTAATGCAGATATAAAAGTACTAAGGTAGTATACACCACATTAATGGAATTAGTAATTACTGGTGTTTCTATATAGGAAACAGACTCAAATATGTATGTCTCCACTGTATTCAGTATAGAACTATATTGGGCATGACATGCACTTCTCCATAAATATTGAATTTAAAATTTATGATGATTTTCTAAATATTTCACTTTTTCCCCCTCAGGGGTTGGGATGTCACCCCATGGTAAGAATACATGTTTTGCATGTACACGGCTCTAAAGTCAGCCTTCAACAGACATACATTCATATATTCTCTCTCTCTCTCTCTCTCTCTCTCTCTCTCTCTCTCTCTCTCTTTCTCTCTCCTCTCTCTTCAATTATTTTTTAAAACATCATCCAGATATTATTAGAAATCTCACCTGGTGCCTTCACCACTCACTTACAAAACACTTAGTATCAGATGCAGCTCACTGGTATTTTTTAATTATTAAGTTAGCAAACAAGCAGGTTTCATATCATATTTTCATTGCCTCTGTGCTAACTCACCCCGTCCCCACCTTTCTCTGCTGTGGCCCCAGAAGCCCTATGGCCGCTTCCTTCTCTTCCATGCCTGCTCTCACGCCATGGTTTCCATTCCCCCTTCATTCCCTGATCCCTTCACAGCTCTCCCTCTTCTCTCTGGATCCTTTTTCTAGCCTTATCACATGTGTGTGGGTTCTAATGAACCCACACACACACACACACACACACACACACACACACACACACAATCATTCTATTCATTCATTTTACTTACCTAGCTTTACTTCTGAGACAGGGTCTCATGTGTGCCAGGCTAGCCCTAAACTCACTAGGCCACTGAACATGATTTTGAACTCTCCCATACACCCAGCTCATGTCTTTTGGGGACAGAACCCAGAGTTTTTCATATGCCAGGCAAGCGCTGTGCCAACTGAGCCACATCTGCAGCC